TAAGTAAATTTTGCATTTAAATCGCCTCCAGTTAAAAACGCTGCCAACCGTTTTAAAAAACTTTCCATACTCTTTCCCTTCGATTACGTGCTTAAGAGGGCTATAGACCAAAGATATTAGTATTAGGCCTTTCGGGTCTTCAACAACTTTTTGTAAATGCAGCTTGTGCTATAAATTCTTTTACAGGGCTTGTACAAGTTTCTTTGCTTGCCATCTTTAAAAGCTGTTTAGGGTGTGTGTGCCTAAAATGTTAAACAAACGGAAGGACCTATTTACACCCGCGGCAGCTTTTAGGTTAAGATGAAGTTTATTTTGTTAAATCATGTAAAAGTTAGTATAAGTATTAAGTAGTAATATAATATTGCATGTATATATATTTCAACCAGCAGAAAAACTATAATTTTCTTTGCTTAAAATTGAAGAGATATAATCCATCATTCTTCTATTAGAAATTAGTTTCAAGCGTCAAGCTATCGCTAGTGTGAATATTAATAATTTTAGAAAACAAAAAAATTATGTTTTAATTATAATATAATATTTTACAAACAAACTTGGATTAATCAGCTGAAATGTTTAACTACATTTGGCGAATATTTTTTTTATTATAATTTTTATCACTTTAGCATTTATTTTTAAATTTTCTTTCAGGCATTTATCGAGATACACTGAAACACGAGTTCACTTCCGTTGTCGCAATTAGTTGATGGTTAAATACAATATTCAAAATTTTTTTATAAATATATGATTTTTTAATACTGAATATAAAAATTTACAGAAATTCTACATTTTATGGTACATTTATGACTTCATATTTTTAGCAAATGCAATTAACCCCGCTTTGACCTTTAATTGCACTCTCCCTGCAGACATCATCGCTAAAGTCGAAGAATGTTCAAATTGCACAAAAAGCAACAAAATCAAAATTAAAACGATTGACAACAAAAAATATGATGATCTGTGTTTAGTATGATTGCAAGACTATCATCGAATATGAGCTACTACCGCCCCTATCAGAACTTAATGTAGGTGGAACAAGAAATTAAAAAAAAAATTAATCTCAAAATTAATAAATCAGAAATTAATTTGAAGAAAAGATAACAAGATAGTGCTTGACCATATATATACTTGTTGACCGTAGAAAAATTTCAAAATCTTGATTAAAGAGTTTTAGTATTAAATTCACCATATAGTCTCAAGACAGATTAGTATTTACTTTGATCTTTGAAACAATCTTTCTTTACCATGCAATTCATTTGAGAAAATAATTGTGAAAAGTACATAAGTCAGTTTTTCGAAGACGAGTTCCCACCTAGAATTTGTCTGTATAGACATAGAAGTATTTAAAAATCTTAATTTAAGAGTTTCAATGCATTCACCTTATGGACTCAGGACATTTCCAGATTTACTTTGATCTTTGTGATATTCTTTCATTACCGTAAAATTCATTCGAGAAAATTATTAGGAAATGCAGCTATATTACCTTATGAGGGCTAAGGCGAATTTGCCGAAACACCTATATCAGTTTTTTAAAGACAATTTTTTTTTGTAGAATTCTTCTGCCTAGTAATAATAAAATTAAGTAATGACAATGACAAAGATCACGACCATTACAATGGGTCATGTTTGGATTAATTAAATAGTTTTTGAAAAAATAAAAAAAACTTTGATTTTTAAGAGAAAATAAAAATACTTTATATTCAACCCAATATTTGTTTTATAAATTAAAGTTTCAAACATATTTTCACTTATATTTTTACACATATTGGTAAGAGTTATAACTTTTACATAGCAAAATCCAAAAATCATAAGCGATTGGTCAGTCAAATTTTAATATCTCTGCCATAGGAGCTAATAGTTCTTGAATAGAAAAACTTTAATATTTTTATAAATAACAAATCAAAAACAAATTGTCTCAAAAATTAAAATTATATATATTATAATAAACCGTATCATATACAGATAAATAAATTCGTGTATAATTATTTCAAATGAAGATTATTCCGATAAACATTGCGACATACTTTTCTAGTCATATATGTATATATAAACAAAAATCTTATTTATTTAAATTAAAACTGTCAGCTTCCTGGACAAAAGATTTCCATTTATCATTATTGAAAAGTCTTTAATATAATTTATAAATAAATTTAAATATTTTTGCAACTTTTTATTTTAATATTTATAATTTAACTTTTTGATTACAAATATTTTAATCACATTTGACAAATTTTTTTTATTATTATTTTAATTTAAATAGAACCTTTTAATTTATTTTAATTTTGTATATTTGAATATAACAAATTTACATTATCCGATGTTAAATATAAACACAATTTATTTTTAATTTATTTTTATAGCTAACGACACTGCTTCAACGATATCTCTCCAACAACTGAAAGTAATTCGCCTACGTTGCGTTAAATTTTTTTTCTAAATACACACACTGACCAGTATAGTTGCGGTGATAATACTCTTTTCAAACTGAAGTTTATATGATAATTTGCAAAAGTAAGCATTTTCTCAATATTCGAAACTTTGAATAATATTCATTGTTTATAGAAGAATCTTGGTTCAAATTACCGGTCCACTGAAATGATGCGCGTGTGCGACACCAACGCTTCGGGTTTTTCACACAGACAGTACTCGTATATCGTTCGTGTAGCCGGACAAATCTTTGCTAAGTGTTTCGGGTTGTACACTGCTAAAAATAATTATTTCATTTAAGTTGATATTTTACTTAGTGTAAAATTTTTTTGTCATATAAAAGATTAAATAATTGTCGTATACAATATTTGCTACGGATTTTTATTTATTAATTTTGATAGAATTTACTATTTATTGTTATAAGAAATGTAATATATTATACTTGGAGCAGAAAACATATTCAATTTGCATTTTATTTAAAAGTATATTATTTATTTGTATTGCGGGATCAGGATCTGCCATTCAAATCTGTGGACCGGAGTCATATTGTAGATTATGTTGGTCTAAAATTAGGTCTCTGATTGATAAATGATTTTCAGCTGAGAGAAGTTGCTACTGGCACGATATTCCAGATAACCGTCAGGTTAAAGAGCTGATTCATCCCTACAGTTAGAGTAAGGTATTCTTCTTCAGCAGAACAGAGTTGAGGTTCCTAGTGGGATATTTAACTGGTCATCATAGACTACGTTATCACCTTAACAAAATGGGTCTGTCCGAAGAAATAGATTGTCGACTCTGCTTGGAAGCAGACGAAACTTTCAGTCACATTCTCTGTGACTGGGATGATGTCACTGAGTCGAGACCTACTCTCCCCTTCTGACATCAACGGCTGACATTGTGACTTTCATTCGGAAGGCAGAAAGTCTTCTGTTCGGTTAGGATCTGTTACAGCACAAAAGATCAACCAAGGTCGCAGTGCTTCGCTCCGTTGAACTGGTACCCTGTTTATTCCTATTCCTATATTATTTATTTATTCATAAAAATTACTAAGTACTTTAATCTTAAAATGCAATATTTTTATTTTTCAATCTCACTTATTTCGAGTGGAGAAATGGTTGTCAAAATGGCTGATTAAAATTAGTGAACTAAAATGTAAACACATCATTTTTACCTTGAATCGGAGTATATGTTCAAGAATTTTACTAAATAACATTCCCATACAACAAGCAGATAATATACCGCACTTACGTATTCACCTAGACAGTCGACTAACTTGGCGCTAGCTTATTGAAGCCAAAAAAATACAAATGCAGGGCCAAGCCTCTAAGTTGCACTGGCTCATTAATAACAGATCCTCCCTGTGCCTAGAGTATAAAGTACTCTCGTATTACAGCAACATTATGAATATTAACTTATGGTATCCAGTTATTTGGTAATGCTAGTGCTTCTAGCATTGAAATTATTCAAAGAGCTCAGTCAAAAGTACTGAGAACAATCACTGATGCTCCATGGTATATTAGGAATGAAAGTTAACAGAACGTGTTAACCCCTCAGCTAGGAATCTCGCACTTTTATCGACTACTTCCCGTCTAAAAAGAGCTGACCGTCTATCCATTAATTAACATTCAGTAGATTGAAGTAAAAACCACACTCTTCCTTTTAGTAATCCGATAAAGTTTATGTGCTGTCTTAATAAACCACCTAACATTCACACCAATGAAACTTAACTCATGTTATAAGGTTTACTTATTTTATTTTATATTATACAATGTATAGTTAAAATAAAAATTGTAATATTATGTATTTAGTGATAAGATTTTAAAACTTATTGTTAGTCTTATTGGAAGAGAAGTTACAATAAATAAATGTATAAATATTTAACAAATAAAAAATAGTTTGTTTAAATAAGAATTATTTTTTTTTTTAATATTGTTGTGTTTATTAATTAATATTGCTGTTTTGGTACAACTAATATTAAAATTATATTAAATACTATAATAAATTCTTAGAACATAATAATTTTTGAATTTTTAGCGGCTGTTGCGCGATTTCACGACAATAGTTCAAATAATAATAATAATATATATTGAAATAAATACAAAAACAATATAAATATTTTTTTATTTTAAAAATTTAAATTAAAAACCGTTTAATAATAAAATAAATAATTGAAAATTAGTAAACTTTATACAAAAATATAAAACTTAAATAATTATTAATTTAAGTATATGCTTTATATATATTATACATTACATGAAACAATCAAATAAATTAAAAATTAACTATTACATTAACTATTACTATCACATTACTGTTACTTTACCAACTAAACGAAGACAAGTTTTTTTTTCTAAAATTCTCTACTTTGGTTACAGTGTTTTTGTTCAAGTTCGGGCTTTTTCACCAATATTCACACACAAAATTATATATTATGCGAACAAGCCTGATCAAATAGTTATGCAAAAATGCATAATGCATAAACAATTTTTAAAAACTAATGAATAAATAAACGGAAATAAAAATTTTACCTTTGTTTTGACTATAATGAATATTTATTGGCAGAATATAATAGAAATTTGTGAATTAAATTAGTCTTTGTGTGAAATAAATCACCAACAAACAACTAATTTGTTGAACATTAAATAGATTTTGTTATATGATATATGGTATTTGTATCTTCTTATAATAAGCACCTATTTTTGCTTTCCTTTCATCGAATTTAATTCTGTAGTATTCTCTGCCAGTAGATCCAGTAACACTTCAATTTTTAAATTGGCGGTATTGTTTTCATCCTCTAATTGCTTAACTCGTCGATTAAGTCGTAACACATCATCCACATCACTTTTACGTGTTGATTGTATCCAAATGCCATCCACGAAACGAAGCTCTTTACTGCCCAAATTCAATGAAATATTTTTGTAATTATCAAAATTTTCCACCATAGGAGGAACACCAATATTTAAACGTCCTGTGCGCGGAGTAACGACTTTGTCGAATTTCTTATTGAAAAGTGGCATTTTGAGCCGAAGCTGTATTGAATAACATCAATATTACTAAATTAACTTATGATTTTTATAACAAAACTGTTAACTATACAAAAAATAAACATGAATAATAAATTGAAATTGTGATTTAACAAAACTGCCATAGCAACCATGACTGGCCCAACATAAAACACAAGGTTCTCCTAACTATTTTCAATAAATTAAGGTTAAGGGTTGAAAACAGTTTAGTGTAAACCAAACCTTAGATTTTGTATGGTATACATAATGAATCCACAGATAAGATTTATAACAAAATTTATAGTATTTAAATATAAAAAAAAATATATTATTTACAAACTTTTATGAAATTTTTTGAAAAACCGTAAAGCGCGAAAATGTCTTCGAAGTCCAAAGGTGAAAACACCGCGGAGTAAGTATGCCACAATACAATTAAATATAATTCAATTTCAACAAAATAAATCTCTTTCAGTGAACCACGCCTAATGGATATCAAAGCAAGCTTAGAAAATTTGATAAGTCAAACAGAAATTGACTTAAAAATATTTACAGTAAGAAGATGATGTTTTTTTTTTATTAATTACTGTCAAAAGATTTGACTTGAAATGTAATTAAAACAATTTTATTGTATAATAAAATTTATCGTTTAATTTGAAATAATAGAATGAACAGATCCAACTAAGAGATTTAATCTTTAACGCTTTAAAAGAAAACAAACTTATGACAACGAGATTAGACCGCCTTAAACATATTCTGGAGACTGAAACCCATGATGACGCTACAAGAAATCAGTATAATGCTGAAGCATTGCAAAATGTTCAGAAACAAATACAATACTTGCAATTAGTAAGCAATAATTTCAATCATTTATATTTCTCAATTATTACATTCTTATTATATATGTATACATTATTATATATATATTTATATATTATATAACAATAAAATAAATTTTCAAAAAATGTTATAAATTTATTAGGAAAATAAGGAGCTTCGTGATATGAACAATAGTTCACAAATTACTATAAAAAATCTAGAATTGGAATTACAAACATTTAGAAATCATATGATAACAAAAACCTATGATGATGTAAATATACATAACTTATATTGAAATATAATATAATATTTATATGTTTGTATATATTTCTTTCCCTGTAGGATAAGCAAAAACAAGAATTTAGAATAAAGATACTTGAGAAGACTGTTGGAAATCAAAAAAATGAGATGGCACGACAAGCAACAATTATTCAGCAACTTTTGGAACAAAAGAAAGCTTTTCGTATGCAAATACAAGTTTTAGAGCAAGGAAACGAAGGTACGTTATACTATATAATAATACCTATATTTATATATTCAATGATGTTAATTTTTGCACTCCTGTATTGCATTTTCACTATTGCAATAAAAACAATTTCTGGTAGAAGTTGTTGCACATGAGAGGCGCAACTTTATTGTAATTCGATTCTCAATAGGGCTTCGCCTAATATCTTTTAAAAAGACAGACGACTTTATCGTGCAACAATAATTACTTTTGAAACTACTTGTCACGAGATACTACATCTCTTAAGATTTGTAATTATCACATAGTATTGCTCACCGATAAGAGGCTAACTCTTAGACTAGTTTTAACTCGTTCTCGTCCCTTTCATATTATCTCACCATTATCAAAATTCTATTCAAATTCGTAACTTTTATATCCACCCCACTTCTCTAATATGATTCGCTAGATGTGTTTTCTACCTGATGTTCTGCATGAAACTGAGGTGTACTACGACTGGTAAATTTATAACAAAATTACCTTCAAATTGCAAGAGTAAAGGTATGCTAAATCTTAGGTTCGCCTTATAATCCATTTCCATCTTTTCCGTCATATTATTTTATTCGTGCATTCAAAATTCTATCTCATACGTTAAGTGGGTTTCCTGCGTGCTGTATTCCACGGAACTTGAGATCGAGGGGCTCCACTTATGGTAAATTTGCAAAAAAATAATCTTTAAATGACAGAAATAACAACAGTGAACGGTCAAAAATAAAAAAAAAACAAACATTTTTTGTAGAGTTTCCCAACAAAGCATTAGTTTAGACATAATACATATATTAGTAGGCGCTCATCCTTAATACATTTTTAATATTCAGTTATAGATTTAAATCAGTTTAGATTGATTATATTCTAACAATGCTACGGAGATATGATTGTTTCTCTTGTAAATTACGACCCAGTTATATGAAGAACTGTGGTGGTTATACCTTATGGAAATATAAAAGGATTATACTAGAAAATTTCGAATTTGTAATTTATTATTTTTATTTAAGTTAATAAAAATAACTTATAATAAAAAATAAAATAAATATTAATATAAATAAACCGAAAATTTGCTTTGTTGTTCTTTTGAAGGATTAATAAATGTTAATATAATAACACTGAATATATTATAACACAGAATTTTTACAGAAACTGTTTATGCAATTCTTCTTCCGCTTTTTAGTGCTATTAGCTGCCATTTAGCTGCTATTTAACATTGAAAATTTGTGTACAACGGTTTTTTACAAAAGTTTGTGAAATTTTATCTCGTTTTTATCTCGTTTTTTTAATATATAACTTTTAGTGCTGGCTGTTATTTGATATTATACATGATTTTAGAATTATAGTAAGTGCTTTTATTTTATGGTATATTCTTTTATCCATTTTTTTCATTAGAATGTGATTGTTCCTTTTTTTCTCGTTTTTAGCAAAGTTATCAAGTTGGCTATTGTTTATTCTCATTTATATATAAATGGATTTTAATTTTTTTGTGAATTACTCATATTTTATAATAAATATTAATTAATTTATAATCAACCTAATTTTAGGACGCTTTTTGTTGTATTTCGTTGAAATATAATAATATTTAAAAGACATTTTCAGTAGTAGGCATAATTGCTTAAATAAATGGAGTCGATAATTGTTATAATTTTTTGTGTTTCCTACAACCGTGTTTTAGAATATTCTTTCGATTACTTTCTTTAATATATTTTCTAAAAAATTTTTATATTTACATTAAATGCAGAAAAATCACGTAAAATCCAAAGTTTAACTGATAAGAGTACGCCACAAAATTCAGAAGGTGTAGAGTTTTGGAAAGCTTGTTATTTAGATTTGAAAGAGAAATTTCAATACCTAGAGAAAGCCCTTGATAATCGAGTAGAACGTGAAAAAAGGGCTCTGAAAAAAGTTGAAGAGACATTATATGTGGTTGATAGTGCTCTCACCGAGAAAGAGGCAGCAATTCAACGGGAGCAGGTAGTCAAAGAAGAATGTGAACATTTAGCGTCAACTATTGGTCAAGTAATGGATGAAGCATCAAAAAAAGTGGATGAAGATATGTTATCGGAAAAAAGAAAATATGAACTCAAGGAAAAGGAGCTTAAATGCATTAAAGAGAAGGTAAAAATTTGCATTCAGTTTTGTTCTTTTTATTCTGCAAAATGTTTTTTTTTAGCTTAGCGATAATTGCAAAAATCAAGCAAAATACAATCAAATTCTCCAAGCACGTTGTAATAGATTTGAAAAAAAATACCAAGATGCGATTTCAGAAACGACGAGACTAACAAATGAATTATCCACAGCTGCCAGAATATTAGTAAGTTGGTTTAGGAAGAATATAATATATCGTTTTACTTAAATTGGGTGATGTTAGAAAAATCGCTCAAATGTATATTTATATGAATTCACATTAATACAAAAATTATTTTATTCATTGTTAGCTAATAGAAACACTAGTCAAGAATATTTCAATCCATAATAAATTTAATTAATTCAAAATTTTCAGGATGAACTTGAAGCCAAAATAATAGAACGTGATAATGTAATTTTAGAAGGCAAAAAAACGAAAAGGTATATTTTGTTTAAATTACAATTAATTTTTATTTATAATAATATTTATTTTATTATGCTTATATATATTTCAATTTATATATTTTTTAAAATTTATTTTGTGACAGAATCGTTGAAGAACACGAAGAAACAATAAAAAAATATATGGAAAGGCATAAAAGTCTTAATGATAAGTATGATAGCTAAATTTTAGATCTTGTTTATACCATAATTTTTCTTTATTTTTTATTTATAGATACAAATCGATTATAGCGGACATGTCAATAAAGTTTGAAGACGAAGTTAATAAACTACAGAAGCAAAATGCACAATTGCAAAAAAAACTGCAACAATTTCTGTGCGATGAAAATAGATAATAAAGCGTTGTTATCATAGTTAAATCTTTAAAATATGATTAAATTTAGTTTTATTTTATTGTTATTTTGCAAATTAATACATACTAAAAATTAAACACTCTATTTTATAATTATATAAATGATAACATATACAAAATATATTTCTTTGTAAAATTTATTCTATTTATGTTTTAACTTAAAACTTATTTTAAGCAGTTTGCGCTGTTCTACCAGGAAATAAACTTGGAAACCAATAACTTGTTTCAGTATCTTGAGTATCAATCCAACACATACCTTCACCTACAACTTTCTCTAGTGATTGTTTTGCACGAAATTCGCTCCAACTAAATTGAAAGATATATAGAAAAAACTGCAAATTTCTTCTCTCATAATTTATATTATAATTTCATACCCTAATTGTTCAACTAACATACTCTCTGTAATGCAGCCTTGTTCTGTATTAGACGCATTTGTAAGTATGGTTGTCTCCTCCATACTTAGTTCACCTGGTATTGACTGAACCATGTACTTTCCTTTACCAACCTTATGCACTACAAATCTAAATGAAAAATAGATATATTAAAAATTGAGAACTAAGAAAAATTTGTGAAAGTAATTAAATAAAAATGTTTAGACAGAACTTTATATCCAAATAATATATACAAATTAAATTTTATAATATAAACAAAGCTGTACATACTAAACCTTTCCTGACTCTTTCTCTACGATTCGATAATATAGTATAATCGATAATACACTAGTATAATCGACAAAATAATAGGTACAAAATAATGCTTTTGGAATGCTTACTGGACAGTAAACTAAATCGAAGATTTTTGTTCACATCGTCCACCTAATTAACTGTTCTTAAGCACATACTAATTCAACCGCAATAAACTTAAGATTCCTCAATATCGAAGTGACAAGATTTCTTTACCTTGACATCGGTTAATTTTCACTTCCCCCCAAAACTTATTTACCATAATTTAGTCATAGTTTAAAATTGAAGTTATATAATAATCATGACTTGATTGGGAAACAATTTTAAATCGATTTTAAATTATATTTAGCCCAAGTTCTTAATAAATAAACAAAATTTCAATTAAAGTTTTTTAGCATACCCATTTCCAAAAATACTAAGTTTCTTTGCTGCTATTAATATATCTTCATCAGTAATTTCTTGATGTGTAACACTTTGGCCACGAGCTGATATCAATCGTCTACGTAATTCATTGAGTTCCATAAGTCCACCTTTAATCAAATCAAAAACAGAAATTTTATAAATTTACTTAGTAATAGGACGATAACTTACCTGTTTTATGATTAGCTGCTAAACACACTTCTACCACCTGCACACCTAACTCATAATAAAAATCACCCATGCCCAAAACACTCCAAAATCCTTTGCCAGTAGCCAACGGATCGACACCAATCGCTGCACACATATCTTGGAATTGTTTACGGAACTGTGCATTTTTTCGTATATCCTGTTTATGTTTCATAGCAAATTCTTCCAATTTTACTTTAAATACTTCCATTTGTTTAGTCATTTGCTCCAATTGCGACTCCTGCAAATCAGTGCCCTTATCCTTATATTTTTCAGCAGCCAACTGTTGTTGTTGTATAGCACCTAACCCCGCACGACGACGCATTTTTTCGGACACTTAATATTTAAGTCACACTTGATTACAAAATTAGGAACAATTTTAACTTAAATTTTATTTATTAAGCATTTTTAACAGAAATTACTTTACAATTTGAAGCACAGTCCGAAACAAAATTTTAATAAAATTCGCCGCAAACAGAAAAGAACATATGTTATTCTTGTGCGCCACGGCAATATCGACGTTAAATTCAAAATGGAATTTAAGCTTATTTCGCCGGAAAACATATTTTTAATATATAATTTTTTAAAATTAATATATCTATTTATCTATACATATCTATGTATACATAAAAATGAAATTTTATATAGTTTTATATATATTTCTACAAAACTTATATACCTAAGGCCGATTTTGTTAAAAATAAAATATTACTGGGACAAAGAAATCGAATATATTCAATATTTAGAAAAAGAACAAAAAGTTTTATGAAGTGGAAATAATATTTATATGTTTAAAATATGTTTAAAAATTATGTATTCTATATTAAATTTATTTACTTACTTATTTGGCCATAACAACCCGTTATCGGATTTTAGCCTGACGTAGCACTTCTATTCAGGCACCTTATCTATATATACGCTGTCTGCAATGCCGTAGTACTCCCTCAACTTGATCACTCCATCGGAAACATGGCGTACGATTTCTCAAAAGCTTTAATGCTATGTAAAGAAACAGGTTTATCGGTCGAAAATAAACTCTATATTTAAAATGTTATTGTTATAATGGTTATTTCTTTGATTTCCAAGCTGACATCCTTGTTGTCAGTCATGTCATAAGATAGGTAAGAATCTCGTAAGACTCGAAAGTATAATCGCCAGCAAACATTTGACATTTGCCAACATATGCTTTGTGTCTTTATTTCTTTATTTTCTTCTTTAAGACTTGTGGCAGTCTACATATATTATCAATAGTGGAAGGACGATTCCAATGATTCCAATTTCTGAGCATGCTTTCGTCCAACCATATTCTGCAGATAAATCGATGCATATTCCCTATCGACATATTCGCTTGGCTTTTTGTTGTTTTTTAGTCGGTGTAAAACAACATGGACTTTGCAAGATTGTTATATTCTTCAAATAAGCTTGGAGAAATGTTTTTTCTACATTTTCACTATGCTGCTTGTAGTCGTAACCAAATATTCTCTCAAGTTAATGCTTCACTCATCATCGTATCATTGGCTTTCCAACGAGAGAAACGTTGAAAAACAAAGTAACATATGGGAATTGAGAAATAGCTTCCCATTGTCTTCCGGTATTTCGATCATTTAGACAATTGAGCGTCGAATGCTTTGAGTGCTCCTATGTATAGAAATGCGAGTTGTTGGCGGTTAAACTTCGAAGTTGATGCTTGAACCACAAAACGAGCTTACGTCTCGCACACTTAAAGCTTGTTTTATTTCAATCACGAATTTTTTAATCTGTTGTCGTACCTAATTATCAAGGAGAGAGGGAATTAAATATCGCGATAGAGGAATCTAGTGTAGCATATTACCATATTTCATGCATCAACAAAATTAATCAGACTATTAGACTATTACTATTATCTACCGTTGGTCCAAAAATTTCTTCTATTCCGATTTATGTGATTTAGCGAGAACAATTTTAATATATCGTCAGGTTAGCGATCATGTTGCTTATTATTTAATTTTTAAAGTATATATAATGTATACAATATTGATTTCATTAAGATTATTTAATAAACTGTTTCATAAAAATTATTCAGTTATTAATATAATCTGGTAAAAATAATTAAGGTTCAATGTATTATTATTATGGTATCAACGGTACATTGTAATGAACCACAATTTGAAATGTTTCAACTCGAGAAGAAGATTGTAAAACATTTTTTAATATAAGAATATTTTATAAAAATACTAACCACAAAAATTGTATTCCTGATGTAATTTTAAAGCAATAGTAAATTAATACTTTTTTATATAATTTTGACAATTGTGTTTACTAGAACTAAGTTTTTAATCTTCAGCTGTAATTGATATCCGAACCATTTAGTGCCCTACGCTATTGCTAGGGCTATTGTTTGATTTTTGTGCCGAAATCCTTATATTGTATCAAAAGTTAATAATTAAAAATATATTTGGTTTTTTGAATTTATTTATTCTTCAACGATAAATCCACAAACAATGCTAAATTTTACTATTAAATATTAAATTAAATTTTATTGTTTGTATATTAATATAAACTTTCTAAAGTATAATTTTCAGATCTAAAAATAGAGATTCTCTACAAGAATCATAAAGTTACATTTTACAAGATATTTTTTTAAATTTATTTGCTCACAATTCTGAAAATTATAAATTACTTGTACCATATCAAAAAATAGTTTTCCTGACTCACTGATACAAACCTTGTACAATACTAGAGAACATCAATTTAATCAATTTCTTGTCATTCATGTCATTTGCATTACAAAGGTAAAATGTTATACAAAAAACATTAAAAAGATATTAGCTATCTTTAAATGTAAATGGGAAAAATAATTGCTATAAATTCAGTAGCATTTTCAAGATCTTATAAGTTTTCCATGACACACGTAAAACACAACTCATTAACGATGAGATACTTTATTGGTAAAACTATTACAGATTTTCAAGAGTTTTTACTGATATCTCTGTATGAATTTCAGGTTTATGGCTAGCACTCATTTTTGTTGCATTTGCTAACTGCCAGTCTTCCATTCTTGGCGATGGAAAACCGGAGTGTACAACTGTTGAAGAAATAACAACTCGCATTTTCCGCAATACTTGGGATCCAACTGCATACTGGAGTTGTTCTGAATTAAACGTGCCAGCAACGTTAATACGATGTCCCGACCAAACAGCATTCCTTAGTAGTCGTAAAGAATGCGTACCATGGAGTGATTGGAAATGGGAGAGTACAGACCAGCAATAACAGACAAAGAAAACGTTAAAGAAAATATATCCTAAATTGCTCTTAAAAATGTATCTTTAAATGCAATGATGCATATAAAATTTTAAATAAATTATATACATTGTTCTCGCAATTTTGGGCCCAAAGTTATTATAAAGTCAAGAGCTATATAAAAATGTAAATAAATGCAAAATAAATCATTTATATAACAATAATATATATGTGTACACATTCTTGTTCCTTATATTTTTCTTCTTACTATACTAGAAGAAGTAGTATTGTTAAAAATGAGTTATATTTAACTTTTTGATAAAAATCTTGTGAATTACAAATTAATCTGCTCAATTATTTCATTTTTTAGTCATGGGCACGAATATGTGACTCGAAATCCATTGAAAAGCTATTAAGCTGTTAAGTTACAAGATACATAAGTAGGAAAATATTTGCGAAAATAGTTAGTAGCATTTTTAAATGCATTAAAGTTTTATTTAACGTGAGGTAAAAATTATTAACAAAAAAGATGATGACTTTTGCTGGAAGGATAATCAGACTTAGAACTTTTTACAAAACTTACTCAAAAAATTTTCTTGTGGATTTGTGGTTAATACTTGCTTTAGTTTCTCTTGCTAGCAGTGGATTTTCACCACCAATTTCAAGTGGAAACCGTTACCAACTTAAAAAACCTGTGCCAGGACAAGTTTGTAATCAAAATCCAAATTATTACCAAAATCCTAATCAAAAACCAATACAAGTTGTATATCAAAAACAAATTAGAAAAGTAGATTGTAATGAAAATCCAAATCCATATTATAACCAGCAACCAAAACAAAAAGTAATACCAATTGTATATCAAAAACAAATACCAATAGTATACCAAAAACGAATTAGAAAAATAGATTGTAAACAAGCCCCAAATCCAAATTATAACCAAAAACCAATACAAATTGTATACCAAAAACCAATTAGAAAAATTGATTGTAATCAAGCCCCAAATCCGAATTATAACCAAAAACCCAATCGAAAGCCAATACAAATTGTATATCAAAAACAAATTAGAAAAAAAAAATGTTAAAAAAAACCCAAATCCAAATAAACATCAAAAACAACAAACAAACTATAATAAAAAATCACATAAAAAAATAAAACCTAAAAGCATTTAGAAGCCAACAATACTACCAAAGACCAATCCAAAAACTAAACCGAAAAAAAAACAATTCAAACGACAATATTAAAAACAAAATCAAAATCATATATGAAACCAAAATTCGAATGCAAAACGTGACCAAAAACCTAACCAAGTAGCAGTCCAAAATACAAAGGAACGACAAAATTAAAAGATGTGCCAAAAACCTATCCAAATACAGAACTAAGTTAAACTGTATCAGAAAATAATTTTAATATAATAATAAATATGAATAAATATTTTCAAACTAAAAAAATTTATTTAATATTTTATTTTTACAACAATTGCGGATTTATGATTAACTAATCGTAAACTAAATCGAAGATGTTCTAAATCCAATAGGTGTTCTTTCACTAAGCAGCACAGTTCATACCAGCAGAGCTCGTATGAGCGGCTCATTTCGGCTCATTCTGCTCACGGCTCATGACCCGGCAAAAAACTCTTTTCATACGATGGCTCACGCTCACGAGCGAGCCCAACTACAAAGCCCATGAGCGAGCCCAACTACAGAGCTCACGCTCAGGAGCAAGAACCGCCATTAAGTTATAAATGGGCTCACGCTCGTGAGCAAGAGTATGAGCTGCGGCTCATGAGATCTCATGCGTCCAATTTAAGATTTTGCTATTATTTTTTTTTTGTGAAAACATATCATTAAAAAAGATTAAAAATATTAATAACCTTAAACTAACTAAAATATGAAAATAATCAAAGTTCTTAAAATAAACAATAAATATATTTTTATTGTTTATTTGTGGAAAATAATAATATTTTATAAATTTGTTTTTCAAATTCAAATTATTGTTTCATTATATTGTTTTAATATGAAATTTTATATTTTCACATATAAAGTTTATAAAAATAAATAAAGCAAATAAACTAATAAATCGTTTTTTATTAAACAATTGTGCTTGTGATTTCTCGGCTCGTGAGACCCCATGAACAGCTTTTCAATATGAGCAACTTGAAGGCTCACGCTAGTGAGCAGCTCTTCAATATGAGCCAATTATGGGCTTACGCTCATGAGCCAATTTTGGGCTCACATAAAAATTGGCTCTTGCTCATGAGCCTGAGCTGCTCATGAGTGAGCAAATACGAACCCTGGTAGTAAGTGATTATGTGTTCTTTTGTGTCAAAAAGAATTAATAATAAAACATAAATAATGGCACTATTTTATTTTCTAATATTTAAGATAGATGCACATTCTCTTTCTACTATCACACAATGATATATATTGCTAACTACTATTTTAGCGACCTATTTAACTTGTATGGAAATGCAAATTCATACACGTTGTGAACTGTCCTCATTTTTGTTTTTCGGCAGACCTGAAAAGTCTGCCACCGGGACTATTAACGACTCTAACTTCTTCCTATCCACTTTTGCCTCTGGCTTTGAACATTATAAACGAACCTCTACTTGCAGCAGGACGTAAATTGAGCCTTAATGCACCAAAAAGCGTTATGATTTTGCTTTGATATAATTGATTTTTAAATTAAATCGCTATTCTTATCGAAACTCATTTAGTTAACATAGTTAATGCTGGTGTATTTCAATCCCAAGCTTGTCGTCAAATGAAACTACTGGAATGAATCACCCCCTTAACTCAATTAAAATTTTTTGACATACATGTGTTTTTACAGATCCAAAATTTTATCTGGTCTTAATAATCATCGCCCTACCAAAATCCAGTTTCAACTGCAAGTAGTTCCTAATTGTAATACCTATTCCCATACTATTTCCTTACTTCTCATTTAATTTTCTCTTACCACACACTATCTAACGTTTTTAATATGGCCAAGCAAATTTGTGGTTACAATAGATCTATATATATTACAATAGCGCAGGCCTCTTACAACTGTGTTACCTCATATGAATATAATATAACAAATGCTTGAGTACTGATGACGACCCCGATTATTATTTTAATTACTATTTTCCATTATCATCTATAACGCTCAGCTGAATGCACCTAAGCTGATTATCCGAATTATTCTCTTATTCTGTAAAGACTTAATTTACAGATATTGTCTCATAAAAATCATAGGAAATGTCGGGTCATTACAAACGCTATATATCACTAAATTCTTTACATTTATTAGACTGTTGAGAGCTCAAATTTGCAACAACCTTTTCATCTAGACATTTGGGTCTCTTGAAAGAGCAACAATATAAGATTTTTTATTTTAACAGATAACATACGAAGAATTTTGTGTTTTTAGCAAACTATTCTACGAAAAACTAGATGCTCATTTCTACTTAAGATGTTCTTTCTTTACCTTCCTCAAGATTAAGAAACTATATAATATAGAAAGTCAATAACTTTTTTTTATATTTTATTTTATTTTTTATGTACTAATACATTTAGTGATCAAATTAGAATATTAAATTTAAAATGGTGTCAATAAATTGTAGTTTAATTTCTTTTAATATATAATTAATTATATGAATGAATGTTACAGTTTTAATGAGAATAATCAATATTATTTGTTTATCTCATATGGCGACACACACTTTTCGCTCATAGTAATATTAAAATTATAACTTGTTATTTTACATTACATATTTAAATATTAAAAATGTAAAGTTCAAAAAAGAATGAATTTGTTAAAATAGTTCATATATTTAATCTTCCATGCTCTCGTTTCTATCTGGTGATGCATTTCCATTTTTAGGTGAAACGGAGTGGGATCGGGAACGAGACTTGTTATCTGCAGAGACAGAGCGATCACTATAATATGGATAAAAGAGATATGATTATTCAAACTTTAAAAATTTTAACATAATTATAATAATAAATTAAAGAATGTGTTGATTGAATAGTAAAAATTAATTAGCTTTTTTTATATAAAATATAATTAATTAAGACACATCAAAATCCAAGCAAACAAATTGTGTTCAAAAACAGTTAAGAAAGCAAAATAGAATAGAACAAATAAAATATTAAAATTTAAAAAATATACTTTAAACAATTTATTCAACATACCGTGAACGAGAATCTCTACGAGATTTTGAACGGGATCTTGATCTTGAGCGTGATTCACGTTTAGAATTTGACCGTGAACGTGAGCGGGAATCACGTTTCATTGAACGTGAACGTGAGCGAGACTTTGACTTTGATTTAGAAACCTCACGTGATTTACTAAAAAAAAAATTTAACAATTAAATATATATATAAAAATAATCTATAATAAATCTACATATAATATAAATTATATATAATATAAACGATATATAATACAAACGACATTAAAGATATACTATAATAAACGCAAAGTAAATACGTTAACAAATTTTATTTTAGAAAATTATTCAAAATTATATTTTAGAAAAATCTATATTTTAGAAAAATCTATATTTTAGAAAAATCTATATTTTAGAAAATCTAATCAAATTTATATTTTAATTATAAAGTCTAATCAAAAATCAGTCGTATCAATCCTGTTCATAATAAATAATAACTTTATAAATAAACCGATACACAGGACAATTTTGGCAAAGATCATTAAAAGTCTTTCGTAAGATCGACCGTAAGATCGTTTATAAAATATAGATATTCTGGCACAAGTCTCTCAAAAAAATGTTGTCATTTGCAGTTCGATGTGAAAAGAAAGCTGTTTTGTTCTGTTTCTTTCATGGTGAAATCAAACACAGCTGTTAATCCCTACCCCATTGCATGTAAACAACTTAATTTTAATAAAAATGTGATGAATAGCCATAAGATGTATATTTTCTGAATAATTAGCTGACAATTGAAAGATCTGATTAATAGTAGATCCTTCATTTGGTCTTTAGAAAGACGATATACAATAGCTTTCAGTCTTGTGAAAGACCGCTACCACAATACGAAAGATCTTTCAAACGATCTTTCACAAGATGTTTGAGTGTAGTAAGCTGAAAGATCGTTGCCAGAATTGGTCTGATAATTAACTTGATTCAGATATAATGCTTTATACTCAAACATCAACATTTAAACCGAGCATAACTATGTCAATATATATATATTTTGTGTTGTATAAAAACAAATACTTAGACGTTTTACTTACTTAGAACGAGAGCGCGAACGAGATTTAATTGGTGACTTTGATTTAGAACGTGCTCCACGGGACTTAGAACGGCTGCGAGACTTAGAGCGAGAACGTGAAGAACGACGAGAGCGTGAGCGAGAACGACGACGGGAACGGGATCGAGAGCGTGAACTTGATGAACGAGATCTTCCACGTCCACCTCCACCACCACCACCACTACGTCCTCCACGACGATCTTCGACCAATCGTATGCGACGACCATTCAAATCTGTATCATCTAATTTTTCAATAGCAGTTTTCATGTCCGACATTGAAGCAAACTCAACAACACTAAAAATTCAAAAAGCATATATGAGTACAGGTAATAGAAAATTGAATTTGATATCGAACTCACCCTTCATTGCGACGTTGTTTGTGAGCATCAGCATATGTAACTTCACCGGCTTGACGCATATAATCTTTAAGATCCTAAATAAATTAAATAAAAAAAAAGCAACAAAAACAAAAAGAAATAATTAAATTTATATATTTATAGCAATTTGTATAAGAAAAAAAAATCAATAATATGCTATTATTTAAAAAAAAAATCGAAAAACAATATATGCATAAATATTGGCTGCATTAAAATATTGAAAAATCTGTTAAAACTCCGCATAGGCTGCCTTTTGTCCCTGTATCCTAAAATGGTCTCTCTTGGGAGCCTCTTTGACCCTTTCAATATATTGCTGTCGCCTGTAGTATATGTGATGATATATGTGGGGCCTTAGTAAAATATTATAATCAACCTTAATATGCAGCACTAATATTTATGCATTTATTAGAATTCAATTATTTTTAAAACAATTGCATTAATTTAAATACAAATACAAATACATTTATAATGGAAAACTACAATACACAACTAAATAATTTTTGTCCTTTTATATTTAATTTAAATATATATTGAAAAGATAAATTTAAATCTTACATAATGTTGCTTATATGTTAAAATTTAACTGTCTGTCAAGTGTTTAACCCATTTGTGTGAACTGAAACTGCCACTTCCATAATGCAGATCTTTTACTAGTTTTTATTTCGTTTCCAAATATGGGGGGAAGTTCATTTGGCAATTAGGAATAGAAATCTTTTCCAGAAACACACACGAATACGAGTAGATCAAACGCATTGAACCAAAGCGTCATCGTTTTTCTAAGCCACACATCTTAAGTTAAATCGAATAAAGAACGCAAATCGCATCGATTGAAGAAGCCTTAATTAAATATTTAGACAGAGGTAGAGTTCTTATGCAAGTACGACGTGTACTTTTATGGAAAATTTGCCTGAACTTTAGCCATAGTCTCCTAGGAGCACACAATTGGGTTGGTTATCATATATGGTATATACACTGCACTCCATCATATACAGAGTAAGTTTGCATTGTATTTAAACCTATTTGGCAGTCCAACGTCACTTAAAAGCAGCACTTTTAATACTGAACGAACGGTACGTGTATTACTGGAAAAGAAAGAAAAATGTTCATGTCCTAAACATGATGCTAATTTTGTTTAGTTCCTTGCACGGACATAGCTGGTATGATGTTGACGATTTTTTTTTTGTTTCTTCTCATCATCGAAAAATAGGACAATCAGATCAGTTCGTTGGAAGTCTTAATTCGCACATCAAAAACAAGTAACCAGGGAATGTAACCAACGGCTTCATTCGCTCACCAGTTATTATAAATTAAGGGAAAGCGATGTTTGCTTATTGAGTTGCAGCCACCAGATGCGCCATCAGAAGCACAGAGAGCGCAGAGACTTTTAGCCAAAGTATTAAAACATTTGAATATGACCCTTCGTTTACTTTATGGATCACTATAAGACAATTTGACAATTCTAAAATTAATTATATAAAACATTACATTCTTAATTTACATTAATATGTACCTAATTATTTTTAATAAAGAATATAAAACTTAATGTCTGATTGTTATAAGGATTAGTTATAAAAATAAGACATATATCATTTTATAGACTTTTGTATTTCATTATTTTTAGTTTCGCCTCAAAAATTCAGCTTGACGTTGAATGTTAACATGTGCTTTGCTTTCGTCCATTTTGTGTTTTTGTCATTAGCGAAAGCAGCAACAAACCCTAGCATTATGATCGAGTCTCATTACTTTGGCGGCTTCTGAAGACGTGACTTGACATCTGTTGTTTTACACCAAAACTTTATGTTTGCGTTAAATATTAGTTTATCTCGTATCTTATAATTTTCTAAGAAATTTTTGATTTTTTTTTTTTCATTCTATATACGCAATAAAAAAGCATCACATTAGCATTATCGCATCAGATATTGGACACCAAAACCAGTTATAAGAATAAGGAAATCTCTGGCTCCACGCCACTGTACCACTGTACCACTGAGTCATGATTATTATTATGTCTGCCTTGTTAAGTGTTGCCTCAACGAGTTATTGTACCACTTTTAGACAGTCATTAAAGCCTCATCATACAACCTTTGGCGATGATGACCCCTCTAGACGCATTCATATGTGTAGAAGAAATAATGTATGGGATATTGCCAGTCATTATTTTAGTAAAATAATATAAAGAGAAATTTTAGATATTCGCTTTAACAAAACTTTTTACAGTCATATTTCATTTGTTAAAACAAAATAAAATCAAAAACCCATTAAAAAGTTAGAAAATAAAAAGAAAATTGACAATGCTCGTTTGTATATTACAATAAAGAAAGAAACTTTTGGAACAGAGGAAATTAAAGCATACATTTCGGTTAGTAGGTGGTTTTAATAGGAAAAACAAATTTCATTTAATTATTTATTTTTAATTATGTAATTATCTGTAAAATTTGAATAGACTGACTAATATTTACAGTAAATATACAATGCAGCATATCATCACTTCTCTTCAAAATGTTCGTTTTCGCAATTACACTATCGAATTCATCTTCGTTGTTATCATAATAAGCAGTCAAATAACTCTATAATGGTTGGGTGAAAGTATACTAAAGATAAAACGCTGAACTATTTTACGTGTTGTTAAAAATATTGTGAGTAACGTAGTTTTTATTCTCCAATCGTCGATAATGAAAAATATGCTGAACGTTGCAGCTTCAAAGTTACTATAGACAGTTAACGCCACAGTTTACATCTTTCTTCGTCTAAATGAAGTCCTTAAACAACCCTATTCAAATCGCATTATAAACCAAACCACTCCAAACTATCGACTTACTTATATAATATAATAATTGATAAACTTTACAGATAATTACACATGGATATTAAAATTTTCTTTTAATGTTTATCTAAAGTGAACTACTTATAGGTGACAAAAAAAAATTTTTTTAAATCCTACACATGCATTATTAACATACCTGCCAGCTAACACGACTCGACAAGTTTTCCACTATCAAACGATATTCCGTACGCAATGGTGGTCCATAACGAGAAGATGATCTAGAGTTTTTGTTTCTATAAGAAAAAAAAAAATGTTAATAATTAGACAAAAAAAATTTGCTATTCATATATTGTAATTGTGATTAAAGTTGTTGAAATTTTAAAATGAAATATTTTAAAATAAATTATAATATTGCAGTTATTGTTATTACACAGGGTTAGGCAAGTAAAGTGTTACCAACGACGCACTACGTGAAAATCATACGAATGACTGTTGTTTATATTGTTTAAAAGCTACCACAAGCATTTGCGTCTATATTTTATAGAACAAAAGTCATTCAAAATGGAATTCAAACGTAATAGTGTGATTGTGTTATATTTGACTGGAAAATCACAACCCACTTTTTATTGTTCGTAAGCTCAAACACCTCAAAGTGAATAAAATGTTTGTGTATCGTACCATAAATCGTTATTAATAGTACAGGCAGCGTCGCCAAACGCTATGGTGGTGGACGAAAAAAACAGCAACATTCAACTGAAATGGTTAAGTATATAGTGAAGGCCAAACTTAATAAGTCGATCCGACTTATTATAGGGAAAAAGTTTTGAAAGTTCCTTTGAAGCCGTATCTGGGCACACATTTCGATCGTAGACCATGAACGTTTCAACACGACTCAGCACCGTCTCATATACCTCTTATAAACAAAAAATAGTAAAAACATCATGTTCCACACTTCATTTCGTCCACACAATGGCTTTCGAATTCGCCAAATGCAAATGCGATGGACTATTGCATCTGAGCTTTTTTGGACATGACCTGACAATGGCTAAAGAAAACCATTGTTCAGGAATGGGCCAAAATACCGGAAGATCACATTTATGAAACATGCAACTACTCATTTTTAAACCGTATGAAGGCCATAATAAGGCAAGAGGCAAAAGGTGGCCACATCGGACTAAAGTGAATGGATACTGAAATTTTGATTATTTCTACAAATTTTTGTATTTTTGTATCAATAGAACATAATTTCACACAAAAAAGATATTGTCGCTTGAATACATAACACTTCCATCGCCTAACCCTGTATTTAAGTTAAATTTAATATATACGTAAATATATAACAAGTGTCAGAAACCAATGAAAGAAAGTAAACTGCAAAGTACCAATCACACTGTACTATTTTATAATTAAAATTTTTATATATTATTTCTACTATATATAGTTCAAAAAAGTCTCAGGGTTTGTATTAAGAAACACATTCGTTCGTAAAAAGTACACTAACGAGAACATTAAAAATTTTATATGACACTATTTCGAATGTCATTTAGTTTGCTGTCGTTTACACAAACACTAACTAATATTTATTTAATGTCTTTCGAACATGAACAGTTCACTATGATAGCAAAGTATTGTTTATTTGCGTTCATTATTAGAAACACTCTCGATAAAATGACGAATTATTGGTATTACAAACACAATAATTTACTAATTACTATTGTACATTTCACAGTATTCGTTATCTAATAAATAAATTAAATAAAGTTATCATTTTTCACCTTTTTATGGTTAGATATTTTGTGGATATTTTAATCAAATAAGCTTACAAGTTTAATTATGTAAAGGCTATAACTCACATGCATTAGGTAAAAATACTTTTAATTACGAGATAATGCTGGATGTTAAATCTCAAAGAAAAAAGGTGCAATGCATCAAGAATGATTTATTTAAATCGAAAAAGCCGCTACTAATTGGAAGTCTAATATGTTTTTGTACTTAAGGGAGAATAGTGGCTCGAAAATTTTATTTTAATTTTCAGTTGTTTTTTCAGAAAACCTTATTTATCTCAAAATTATTGCACAATCTTTTTTATACATTTATAATATGAAATTACCTTATTATTTTGAAAATATTTTTGGCAAGAAAAGTTTCCATCCAGAACGCACAATCTGGATGACACACTCTTCCACACAGAAGAGTGTAGTATGTATGATTCTAACATCATATCCTAAACTGCAATTATTGCAGATATATATGATGTGTATTTTGAAAATAATAACCAAAAGTAATATGACACTTTCTCATTGTCTATAAAATTTGGAAAAAATGTGCAGATCTAACATTTTGCGCAGTAAAAATATTTGTATACACCTACGCTTATTAAGAAGCAACTTTTATAAGCTGACTCATTAAGCATACACTATACTTTAATGTGTTTAAAGACTATTGGCGTAAGTCCATATTTGGTTAATTGTATTTGGAATGATTTTATAGAAAATATGTAGATTATATTGTTTAATTGGATATTTCAATTCACATGTAAACCTAATACTAATCCCGAACCAAGTTCAGTTTTGTTAAATTAACAGTTCAATCAAATTAACGAAATTAACAAAACTATATATCTTAATATTTTCTAAAAAAATAAAAACATACATATAACAAAAAAAAAACTTGATTTGTTTTAAACTATGAACTATGGGCTATAACATACTTCACAAGCTGAACGGTAAATTCATACCTAAAGACAGATTAAATCAATCTTCAAAATCTTAACCCACAAGTCATAAACTAACTAAATCACTAAATCATAAACTAACTAAAACAAAAAATATATTAGCAAATTTTTAAAGATTCACGTAGATTAAGAGGCTGAAGATCAGCAAATAACCTAACAGAGAATGAGTTGCAACACATGTCGACTTAAAATAGAACTGGTGATCATATGTATATGATTACAATATAAAGAAATATCTTTCAATATTATGATTAAAATAAAAGGTTTTAAAAAGTACATCTTCTATATCTACATCTAAACATTATTAATATTTCATTTAAACCGGATACATAAAAAAATTTTACATGTATATTCGTAATAAATAACACATTCATATGAATACATAATTAATGAGGAATACATATGTATAAATTTATTTCATGTATAAAATTTAGATACTCAAGAACTAGATTAATAAATATGCTTTGTTGTTACACAAATGAATATTGCTAGCTTTAACAATAAAATAATTAGAACAACACGACAAACTATCAAGTTAGACAAGAAATACTGTATTGTAACATATTATGCACAATCAGTGTGAAAATTAACACAAAATATCTATTTAAAAAAAATTTAATAACTAGTGAATGGAAATATAATAAAAGTACTTTAACCTCTAATAAAGTACTTTTAAAATCAACCATTTCAAATGGAAATTAATATACATATTGTAACGTAAGAGTTAACAAAAACTCAAATAACAAAAACTGTTATGATACGGTGCAAAAAATATTATATTTTATAAACATTTTTACTGTTAATGTTATCAAACTATTTTCATAAGTAAACGCATATATTAGATAAGTTATAGGAGTATAAATATTTTAAATGTGTAGGTAGATAATTTTTTCTTAAATGTAAATTGAGTTATGAACTAATATTTAATTGTTTTATATATAAATTAACTGCCCTAAATATACATGTATTTTTAATACACTTACTTGTCGTTATAGCGACCACCACCTCCCCGACGATTGCCATACCGATCATCATATCGGTCACGATGGCTACCACGAGCTGTACCTCTTGCTGGTTCCACAACGACACTTTATTTGGAGAAAAAAAAAAAATATGAATAACACAAATCATAATAGAAGGTATTTTTTTTATGCTTACCGTTCACCCAGCAATTCTTTCCCATTTAACTCATATACTGCATCATCTGCATCTCTGTAGTCTTCAAATTCCTAGAAAATATAGTTAAATATAATTTTAAGTTTTCTAAAATAAACATTATTTACACAATAATTATAAATTTTATGTTAAAACAAAAAAAATCTTTTTCTTTTTTTTTTTAATAAATTTTATAACTTTATACATATATAAATCTACTATGAAAAACAACCGGCGTCACCATCTTAGAGCAAAAATATGAACATCTCATATTTAATGCGCACCACTACATACGTAGCAAAAGAAAAACACCCCTTAATTTTGTTGCCATATAAGGTACATATATAAATATATATACATCAAACTATTGATTATCGTATACTTACCACAAAGCCATAACCATTTTTGATGAGAATATCGCGTGTTCGTCCATAACCCTTAAAAAAACGTTCCAAGTCCCGTTCGCGAACACCATAGGGTAATCCTCCAACATAGACACGTGATCCAACCATATTTAAGTTTTATTTCTAAAACAAATATTTTAGAACTATTAGTTTTAGCTTTATCTTTATTATAAAATTTGCAGATAAAAAAATTTTTTGCAAATGGCGTCACACTTATGTATAGAGAAAATAATTGAACTTTGGCACAATGAAATATTTATCAAATTTTTGATACTAATATCAAAACTTAATGATTCAACTAATATTTACCTTATTCTAAATAAAATTTAGAACTAATTATGATAGCACTTATTTATAATATTTTTCTGAACTTAGTCGGCAAAATAACTCACACACAACCTCGCTGTTCAAGAACGGATACGCAATTATACCAATGAAGTGTATACTTGACGCTAGCAAAGCGGGAAAATTAACGAAAGTGTTCGGAAACGAAAATTTTTGGTAGATGCCATATATTTTCAAATTATTATTATAAAGTTATTTAAACTTTAAAATCCAAGCTAACTGGATTTATTTTATTTATATAATTGTTAATAGTAAGTCATTAATATATTTACACATATATGTATATATATTGCAATAAAGTGTGGTTATACGGTAAAAAAATTGGTTGTTTTTTGTTAAATCAAAGCTACTATATAAGTAGTTAGCGATTATAATTTGTTGTCTACATTATTACATTAATATGAAGAAATAATATGAGATGCATAATATTAATATATTATAAAAATTTTTAAGATGTAAGCAATTAAAAACGATAGTCTGAACAACACAATATATATAAGCAAAAGAGAAAATTTTGAATAATTGTACCTCTTTGTGTAAAATCGCAAAAAAATCTATATATGTTTACCATAACAGAATTGCTAAATATTAAAATCGGTCTGGTTGATAAGCAAAATGTTTACTGTCGTATAATTTTCGTAACGAATTTTTAAAAAAACCAAAACAAATAACACAATTACTCAGAAAATGCTCTTATTTCAGCAAACACCGTGGAGAGTAAAGATGGTGTTGGCAAAATAGCGAAATTAGGTGGGAAAATATATCAAGCGCCATTGCAGCGTCATGATTTCTGTTTTTGTACTGTGTGATATCTTCACCTCATTACACAAAATTTTAAATACTATTCTGATAATCCGGTAAAAAATATACAACTTTTCTAATAATACTAGATTCACACAAGAGTTTTGTTTGTAATTTCAGCTGTCAAAAATTATCATTTTGCATTGAAAGCAACAATTAAAGGGTAAAATTAGAAAAATAACTGTTATGTAATTAAAACTCAGAGTCTTTACATTATCTTTACATTTTCCTTTAAGTGTTTAACAGAAAATATTACATTCTATACTGTGTTCTCTTTAAAAGATTAGTCGAAGTAATTTACCGATAATCAAGTGAAGCAAATTAACAATATGACAAATTAATTAGCGAACAGTGAAACAATATAATAAAAGGAAAGATGTAGTAAACATAATTTTTTTTTAAATTAATATTTTAATGTAACATGTATATGAAATACATGAAGTAACCAAATCGCTGTTACGATAGTGTAAATATACTATCATGTCAAAAGAATCGTATTTGTTTTTGTTTCAAATTGGTTTTACAGTGGTATTCTGTCATAATTTTCCATCATCATTTAATTTTTAAAGGCAAATTTAAATTTAACAGAACATACCATTAGTTAAAACATATTTTTATCAAAAAACCATTTAATTGCTATTGTATTAGATATTCATTGTGATGCAAGAGATGTAATAGTTTTACTAAAAATAACAGAAAATATAGGTGTATTCTTTTAACATGTTTACTTCAATAGAACAACTTCTAGTTGCTTAAGAATATCTTGGCATCACTGCTTAATCAGTAAACATATGATGAGTAAAAAAATTTGAAACAAGTTTATGGTTGATATATACATATAAATACAAAAATTTCTGTTGATAATTTTATGAAGAAAATTTTTTTATGGAAATATACATAAAATGAATGACTCAAAAAAGTTATTGGTGAGCATTTTATATTGTATTTCAATTAATATCAATGTGCACATTTTTTTAGGTCTTATCCTAAAATTTGATAACGGAAGCATTTTTTAATGAACATAATACAGAAATTATAAATTCCTTAATAAATTAACGAATAACTTCTTTACAATTACTAACCAGTCAGTTAGTGCACGAATTTTATTAAAAATAAAATAATTAATTAATTAAAAATATATAATTTTTTAAAATATTTAAAAGCAGTCATTAACACTCGCAACTGTTATTATTTTGTATTATTTTCATATAAATCACCAAAACCAATACTGTATTGAACCAAAATTTTGTATATATACATCCGATGTTTGTATTATAATATTTTATTTTTAACTTTTATAAAATAAATATTGCATGTTATTAATAACTAAATATATTTAATTCAAAATATTAATCAATTATTATGCAATGTGAATATTTCTGTAATTACAACATATAACAAATACAGTGAGGAGTAATATGCCTAAATGTAATGCCTAAATATTTTCTTAAACATTATGTATAATTTTACGAAATTTAAATTAACACATAGTTTTTTATCATCTCATATATGAACTCAATATATAATAAGACAGTGTTTACATTCAAGAATCAGTTTGATGTAAGTTGCTTGAGCTGAACTCAATCAGTGGTTGAACAGCAAAATGCAGTCCTGTAATTTTAAATACTTTTTTAACTATTCGTCAAGCAAGAGGCCGGCATCGGCGCCATTATTGCGGATTCGCTTAATCTGCGTTCGTTGATTGTTCGGCTAGGTTATTGATTGCGGTGTGTGGCTCTTTCAAAAATTGTAGAATTTTACAGTTTAGTAAAAGTTTATTTTTAATTATTTCAAATAGTGTAATTACGAATATTTTACATTATATATAACATGGTTGATGTTAAAACTGAAAACTCAAATGGCAATTATGACGATGAGGTAAGAAACGTTTTATTAAAAATTAGCATACATAATTATAAACAATGCTATCGAAGACAAAAAAAAACAAACAATATCATTGAAATTAACTATTTGTGGGAACTTAAAAAATCATATACATGAAAATCTTGTTTGCCAAAAAAATGCGGTGATAAGACACCCTCCATTTTAGCAAACATGTAAAAGCAAAATGGCGGGTGTTCTTTAACTCTAGTGAAAATTAATTTATTTTACAAAATTTTAGTGTGGGCGAAAACTTTCTTCAAATAATTTAAATCATAAATAAGACATACAGAATACAATACTTGAATTTATTATTTTAAAAAATATTGGCGGCATAGTCTGCTGTGTGAATTTAGTATACAGAATTTTCTAGCTGTTAGGTTATGTGGTATACAAGTCATTCTATAGAGACTTGCATCATTTTATTTTTACCTAATTAATATTATATATTATTTTAGCCCATTTCTGAGCCAGAACAACTTCGCAAATTGTTCATTGGTGGATTAGATTACCGCACTACCGATGATGGTCTGAAGGCGCATTTTGAGAAATGGGGTAACATCGTGGATGTTGTTGTTATGAAGGATCCCAAAACTAAACGTTCTCGTGGTTTTGGTTTTATTACTTACTCTCAATCATATATGATTGATAACGCTCAAAATGCACGACCACACAAAATCGATGGACGCACAGTTGAACCAAAACGTGCGGTGCCACGTCAAGATATTGATAGCCCAAATGCTGGCGCAACAGTAAAGAAACTGTTCGTTGGAGGATTGCGAGATGACCACGATGAAGAATGCCTTAGAGAATACTTCAAGGAATTTGGCAGTATTGTAGGTGTCAATATTGTGTCTGACAAAGAAACTGGAAAGAAGAGAGGATTTGCCTTTATCGAATTTGATGATTATGATCCTGTGGATAAAATCATTCTTCAAAAAAATCATACAATTAAAAATAAAATATTGGATGTAAAAAAAGCTATTGCTAAACAGGTACTTTCTGGTAATAAATTTAGTTTTCCTTATGTCTAAAATTATTCTAAATATAGGACATGGACCGTCAAAATGGAGGAGGTGGTGGTGGTGGTGGACGCGGTGGCCAAGGTCCACGTGGTGGTGGACGAGGTGGTGATCGTGGTAATCAAGGCGGTTGGGGAAACAACCGACAAAACGGTGGTAATTGGGGTAATAACAACTTTGGAAACAATGGCAACTTTGGTAGTAACCAAGGAGGTCCTAGTGGTGGTGGCTGGAATAATCAGCCTGCACCTTGGAACAATCAAGGTAATGAAGGTGGTTGGAACAATGGAGGCAATTTTGGAGGCCCTAACAATGGAAATAGTGGATGGGGTGGTAATAATAATGCAAACGGTGGTAATTTTGGAAATGATTACCAACAAAGTTATGGAGGTGGTCCACAAAGAGGTAATAATTTCGGCAACAATCGCTCTGCCCCATACAACCAAGGAGGTTTTAACAAAGGTACAGCATTTAATTTTAAAACTGTTGTCCGATATATATATAATTTATGAAAATTTCTATTACAAAGGTGGCAACCAAGGAAATCAAGGTGGTGGTTTCGGTGGCAATAACTACAACAGTGGTGGCGGTGGACCAGGAGGAAATATGGGCGGTGGAAATAGAAGATACTAAAGTAAGAAATTTTTTTATTTTAAATAGATTTTGTTTCTTTTTTTTTTTTAATTTTTATTAGAAAGCTAGTAGATATTATTTCCCTATTAGAAACATCATTGTAAAACTTCTATTAATCCTTGTTAATACTTATAATATTTATTTTTTATTTCTTTGCAAATAGGTTAAAATAGACAATTACAATCAGAAAGGCAGGCAGGCAGGCAGTGAAGTGATCAATTTGTTCAGGACAAATAAACAAACAGTACATATAATCCTATTCATCTACTGTATAGGAAATTTAAATTCAAGTTTAGATTAAAGTTATAATACGCAAAATTATTAATAAGAACTAAAATATACGATTTACACAAAATAGTTTACATAAGAAAAATGTTGACATACCTAGGGTATTACAATGTACTCTTACATCCATAATAAGAAATCCATTATATCATCCTGTCAGTGTTTGATTATTCTATTTCCATTTAACTATAATTTCTACATTAAGAATATAATTTATTTTAAAATTGATAAATGAATGCTAAAAATTTAAGGTAATTTTTAAAATTTTATTGAAATCAAGAACGGACAAAACAAATTTTTAGTTGTCATTGTTTGTACAATACAATTAGATTTTTTTTTAAAGGCAATAAAATGTAAAATATTCACATAACTTAAGAACACAAAACTCCTGTGAGTTACATATGTAGTTATTTATTTGAGGAAAGCAGTATATGGTAAACTTCAGCTCAGCATCGGTTAAAATTTTCGAAGTCAATCAACTAAATGTTGACAGGCAAAAGATAGCGTTAATGTAGATACATCTACTACAAATATCAAAGGAGTTGCAGTATATTGAAGCCAAAAATTCTTTTTAAGAAAGATCTTAATCTTAGATTGAATCCACAACTTGAAACACAGTTATTAGCTCATTTTAATATTAATAATTTACGTGTTTTTTTTTGCAAGACTTTAAACATGGTGAGCAAAATAAAATTTTCAACAGATCCAACGAATCAGAGGAATAAGTACAAGAGCTTCGTTCAACAATACGAAAAGCAAGTCAAGTCTTGTAAGGTAAGTACAAATATTTAACATACAGATTTGATTGATGATTGATGCTGGGACAAAATTTTTTAAATATATTTGAATTTTTTTTTACAAAAAAAAATAAAATGTAGTTTTACTTATTTACTAAGAGAATATGATCTGATTTTATATGACATAGCCATAATTACTTAAAATTTTGCAATTTCATTTATCGCGAACAATCACTTGTCTACCCAAACGATGAAGTATAGCTCGGTACTCTCAACAAACACAAAACTAACTAAAAGTTTGTTGCTAAAGATAGTTGACTACTAACATAAGTTGAACTTTATCGAGATAGTCGATGAATCGACGAATAATAAACAACAACAACAACACGGTGTATTTGTAAAAACTGAAAGCAAAAAGTTCGTAAAATATATACTTAATTTTTTAAGCTAAATTTGAACATTTTTTGAAATTGCTTTAGAGTAGGAGATGGAATGTAGAACGCTTTAAGATTATTGGTTGAATTTGGGCTATGGAACAAAAAACAATATTAGTAATAGAATTACAGTATTAAGCATTTAAAATATTTCATTAAAAATCTATGATATAAACTATTTATAACTTTTATTGTTTGTAAAACAATATATCCAGAATTTTAGATACAGTCAAAACTGTTTTTATCCGGTGTAAAACAACCTTTTACTCTTGTAACTCTGTGCAGATCATTAACTATTTTTAACGGTCTATTTATTGAAGGACATATTTCTATCTTAAAAAGGAATTCTTAAGATAGTGTTGCAGCTCGGGGTGAGCTTTAACTATATCAACCAGCTTACTCCATTCTGCTTTGCATCTTGTTTTAGACCTCTAATTTTAGATACCCATTATTCTGATGTTGTCGATCACGTTGTCAACCCATCTAATACGTGATCTATCTCTGTCGCGGTCGTTGTACGGCGTGAAATGAAGTATTGGCTTTTGTGGTCTGTCTTCTGGCATTCTCATGACATGCCCGATTCATCTCAAACGCTGCAACTTTGCGAATTTAACAGCATCTCACCGTTACAAAGTTGTGGTAGCTCTACGTTCCTGCGCCGACGAAGTTCTTAATGGTTTAGGCGGATGGAATCATAAATTCTTCTCATCACCTACCTTTCAAAAGTTCTGATTAAGTTTTCATCTGCTATATGTAAATAATAAAATATAATACTATATATAAATAAAATCTTTAAAAAAATTTGCATGTGTGTTTTTTATATCAGAATAATAAGATTTTGAGTTATTTTTAACGTGTTATTTTGTTCTTCGAAAACTACTTTTTATAGCTACAGGTGACGTTTTGTGGTCCCTATCCACCCCACAAAAACAGTCAGTATTTATTAACTTTCTTACAGGTTCTAGAAATGGCAATTTTAGAACAGGAAGGTTTAATAAAAATTATATCGAATGGCAATTATATTTAATTTATTTTTTACCTAGTCTTAAAAAAATAAATGACTCACAATTCTTAGTTTACAGGAACTTCAGAAGTGGTTTTAAAAACCATGAAAGAATTCTGTCGTCCTTCACAAAATGTTATGAAAAATATGCTGACAGTATTTTACAATTTTTTCTTTTTTTTAAACCTAATCTTGATTGTACGGTGTAATAAAGCCTAGGGATTGGGATAGTGATGTACTAAAGAGCAGGTAGCTATAAAACAAAGAAATACATACATATTAAGATTTTAATACGCTTCATTTTTCTGAAAAACAAAACAAGGGATTTAGAAATATGTCCCATACATATTTAAACTTAATAATATTTAACATTTTTTTGCATAGTAACACTTTAAAATTGCTCTGTTCAAACATATGCCCAAAATATGCATACACAAAAATCTTCCTTTTTCCACGAAATGAATTATGCCCAGGTCCAATATCTCTAGGATATGTAAACTATTTTATAAAATTCCGTTGAATGTGATAAGTAATTCTACTAACTAGAAAATTTTTTTTAATACATTGTAGTATAAAGATCTAACTTTTACCTATTTTATTTGATTGTATATCATTAATTTTCCATGCGAATATCCCAAATCATTTAATTATATACAAAAAATGACAAATTATAATTGACTACAATGATGGGATTATAAAAGTTAAATTCATTAATAGCTGACTTTTGACAAAGGAGTGATTGGAATTTAAACTGTCAGTTATTTTTGCAGCTGATGTATATTTCATAGTCTGTATTTGATTCCGGGAGAAATTGTGTTTCTGCATGACATATGCATCTTCTCTGACCTGTTGACTTAAGGTATGAATTTAAATGCATTCATTATACAGTCTTAATACTGCTATTAATAATGGGTTAGGTTAGATTATATCGGCGGTCCCAAGGGATCCATAGCACTATTGTATTACAACCAATTAGAACCAGTGGCAAAGCTATAATGCTATTTAATGGGAGATCTAACAGTTCAACTTCGGCAGATATAATTAAAAGAGAGAATTAATGGTAAAAACCACGATTTCACTTTTACCGGGGATTAACACCAAAGCTACAATTTAGTGTCCATTCATTTAGGATATTAATGTCATTTTGCAAAATATATCTTAGGGTAGTAACATATCTTCCGTTTAACATTAACGCAATACCAATACTTTCGGAACCCGCTCTCCTCAGTTTTTGTAACAGTCCACTCACTACTATATTCCAGAGGAGGAAGAGAGAACGTCCACTTGGGGAGTATCTTTATTTACACGTCTGTGTACCGCTGATGAACCAATATATACTTCAATAATTCTGCCAGTTAGTCACACAATATGTAGGATCTAGGCTAACCCTTATTCATCGCATATATTAAATCAAATTTTTTTTGTTCTGAGTTCGCATACAAGGTTCTTATACACCCATGGCTATTCTACCAGGACCATATCGGCCTCGTTATTGCCGATATTATTTAGAAGCTCCTCTTCATCGAAGAGATAACGCATACACCCATCTCTCATCTAATGTAATTGAGGGAACTGAAGAGGAAACAGACATGGTTACGTCTATACTCATTAGTGAGTCAGAAGTGATAGCAGGCAGTATTTTTATTGGACTAACTTTAGTTACGGGAGCAGGTTTATTGCTGCCCACTTTCTTTTGGATGTCAGCAGTGTTTTGCTTTGCTACTGGATATTTCTTTAAAGAAAAATCCTGAATACCTAATCGATTGCTCGTGTTAATTTAGTCTAATAATTTACTGAGGATATAATTTTTTTTTGGAATTTTGAACTGTTAAAACTCTTATACATATTTGTTTGCTTTAGTCTCAGAGTATAAAAAAATTATGTCATTTATTATCAATTATTGATTCTTTACAGCTCTGTAAAAAATCTTGAGTTTTATATAAATAATATAAATTTGTAAAACAAAAATTTTTAACTGTTTATTTTTGTATTAACATGGATAAGGTCTCGATGACAATCAATGTCAAATATTTTATGATACCTGCCCAAATCTAAAAATATCTTCTTAAAACACAATCAGTTTGAAAAATAACTAAATTTCTCTTTATATAACATATAATTAATGCAGTTTTTGTTTTTTTAGTTACAGTAAAAAATTGATTAAACAGATATATTATTATTAACAATTTATTAATTAAAGACAAATTTTACAACCAAATGCGTCTGTTCCATTATTTAACAATTCTTGCGAAGCTTTTGCGATTTTCTGAAGCAAATCACACATTTTGTGTTGAGTGTATACTTTATACAGTTTTCTATGTTCAGACGCTATTTCATCAGCAAGTTGAACGCATCCTAAATAATCTTCAGTTTTGAACATGACTTCAAATAGAAAATTTACAATTTCTGGTATGTAAATACTACGTAATTTTTCCATTTGTAAGGCTCGATTATTCCAGTCTGTTTTACTGATATAGCTAGGCCTCTCTTCTATGTCTGGATCAACAAGCCAACCGTTTCGTGGAAAAAGTAAAACGTTGTAAAGTGCATCACGTGTGACTAAAAATGAAATAAAAGTTGTATCTAAATAATTTTATTATAAATATTTTTTTTTACCTTCTGTGTGCTTATCAAACTTTGTTTTCCAACGATTTAGTTCTAATTGATGATTTTGATCTTTATACTCTGTTGCAATACGTTCGGTGAAAGTTGATTTTTCATCGGGTTCTTCTGGTTTTTTGGGTTTTTCTGCAGACAATTGTGACCAATCCATAAAATGATTTATAGACTCTAAATAAACACGATAACATAGATATTCTTTTACTGAACAATCTTCGCGTACAGGTAAATTATACTGGGATCCATAAAGTTCAAATATTTTTGCAACTGTATCTGCTGGAACCATACTAAATGCAGCACGTACACATTCAGTTTTGTTTTCAGCGAGAAAGAATCGTATCAGATTATTTGTCTGCCATAACAATTCCTCTCGCTGGACCGGTAAAAACGTCAGCCATTCCAATGCGTTAACTTTGGACTGATCATATTCAGTTATAACACCTGCCCGAATTGGTTGATTTTTTTCGGTATCAGTAGGAAAGCGTGATATTTGTTTTATCGTAGTGTGTTTTGTAATATTTTCCACATCCAACCTGGCACTCACAGCTGTTCTAACAGCTTCTGCTCTTTCTTGAGAGTCATTTATTAAATCTAAGTACTTAGCGTACAACACAATTTGAGATTTACCAGGTAATGCTGCAGTGTAAAATGAAATAAGCGATGAATTTCTCATGTTGATAAGAGCTTCAACATATGCTTCTATAACATTATCAGCATATTCTTCTTTATCAACGCGCCCGATTTGTCGTAAGAATAATACGATATGTGTTAAAAAACGCAGCATATGTGGAGTTAGTGGTTTGGATTTTTTACTTTCTTCAATCCATTTATTCATATCCTTTAAAAGTTCAGATGTGTTATCCATGATTAAATGCATTTGTATTATACCAACTTTACTACTTGCATAGTCGCGTATGGCAGAGTCTGAGTGGACCGATAATTCATTAAAAATTTGCTCTAAAGTCATTTTATTGTTCCAGTAATCATCTGGCATTGGAAGGTAGGTTTTTAGACAACAAGAACGAATTTCACTTTCAACTCGTATATCAATTTGTGTTTTAAGATAAGCCCACAACAAATCCTCCCAAGAGCCACGTAACAACATTTTAAGAGAGGTAAGATGTCCACAATAAGTCCCAGCTATGGCACGCGTATAGTCATCTTGTTTTTCTGAACTAGCCATATTCCAAGCACACTTTTTCCATAAATCACGTCGAGGATTGCCCTCGACAGGAACTTTTAAACTTTTATTTGATAAAACATTTTCATAATTTGGATCATCATGCAATCGCCAACCTTCCAATATCGCCGCACGCCATGTTTGTCCGCAGTATTTGGAAATGGCAATCGCTTCATTAATGCGGCCTTGACGTATCTCGTGAAATATTGATTTCGAGAGCCTGAAATTGTCTTCTTCATCAAGCATATGTAGCCGACGTTTTTCACGAACAGGCGCATCTGGATCAAGTGACTCTACTAGATTGTCGGTATATCCGAACGCTACAGATCTTGGAAATTTCTTTTGAAGTAAGGTATTCTCCCAACCAGCTGATGCGTCTTTAGAATGACCGATTTGGGAAGTTGTATCGCATAAATCATAGCAAGCTTCTAACCAATCAACTACTAATTGATATTCACGCAATGTAGAATTATCTAAATTAAAAAATGAGTAAATTAATAAATAATAGCAATAATAATTGCTCATTTAAAAAATGGCAAATTAAACACAAATCAAATATGCTATGTATATTATTGAGGCTTTAATAAAAGTAACCAATAACTTTTTTTTATTTATTTCATACAATGGAAGTAATACTACAAATCCTCCTATTACTTGTGACTAATGACAACCAAAAGCCATCATCTTATAAAGTACACAAAGAAACCTTCTTTCGAAAGTTATATGAGATCTGTTCCACGAGCTACTCGTAGTAACTTTCAGTAACACTGTGTATACACAAGTGCGTTCCACCAGTAAATTTTCGTGTATATTTTGTGTTTTACTTGAGATTTACTACGACTAGCTCATGGAACGGACCTATTACAACATTTACATATATAATAATTGTATCATTTATAAAAGGTAGAAGTATATATTCTCTAATTTATTAATTTCTTTAAATTAATTAATCGAATGGCCTAGTGGAGTATAAATAAAATTAGTGATCACTGTTAAATAAATGCTTACATGTATACAACTGAGTTACAACTTCCTTTTCCGACACTCCTAACGGGATTATTTCTAAATCATTGGCATTATCTGCTTGCAAAAAGAGTCTATCTTTATAAAGAGCATAAAGCAAGCGCCATGTCTTCATCTCGTCCTCCAGCCAGGCTGCATTTATTGCCTTTCTTTTCGTATTTCCGTCATGTAGTATATCCTTATGAGTTTCGAAAAGCATTTCAGCACACAAATGTACAATATCAAGAATTGTGTCAAATACTTCATTCTCATTGAAACGTGACTGCAATAACTCGTAAAACTGTGGAAACAATAAATCAGATTTTTCTCTGACTAATGTATACTGCGTCAATTTTTCTGAGCGTACAGCTTCTAAAAAAGATAATTCGGTTGTGCTCATTTCATCTATATCAGCAGGCAATACCCCTGGTCCAGTAGCATTGGAAGAATTGCTTAAACCATGCTGAGTGCGTTCTATTAAACTATATTCTTCCAACAAACGTTGCATTTTATTAGGCACGGGGGGCTCTGAACTTTCAGTCAATGTATCACCCGCTCGTGGGGGATGTTCTTCCAATAATTTTCGTAATTTACTGGGAAGAAAAACATTTCGAGCAGATGGACTATATGCAACATCCGGAAGATTGCGAACTGATTTAGACTGTGACAAATTAAGAGATTGATCCGCCATCGCTGGTTGCGTTAAATTATATGGAAACGTATTATAGATTATTTATAAAAGTAACAATATTAACATAACTATAAATAACGCCAATACAAAATAGCGGCGGCTCTTTGACAAGTACTTGCTGTCATATGCATAGAGCATAGCCAGTGTGGCCAATTACAAATATCACAATTTTCTTTTAAGTACTCTTTAGACTTGTATTTTGTTCATGAAAAAAATAAATTCACAGGGCAAATGTGGCAAAGATCGTTAAAAGTCTTTCATAAGATCGATGAGAAGACCGTTTGTAAGATTTTAGCTATTCTGGCACAAAAGTCTTTCAAAAAAGGCTTTCATTATTTGTAGTTCGTGATAGAAAGCTATTTTGTTCTACATGCTACTGCATGTATCTCACCGCAAGATGTATATTATTATTATAAATACATAATAATTGTTTTCTGAATTTAAGTCATGTCATGAAAGAAATGGCAACAGCTATTGCTGTATTAACGCAAAGGCAAAAAAAATTAATAAGTTTTAAAATTGTATCTTAAATATGTATAAATAAATAGATGAATAAATCAACATAAAATAAATAATGGAAATATATAAAAAATATATATATTAAATTCATATTTTATATAGTATATCAATACATTTACATCGAATTAAAAATTAAGTTCAAATTAACTGTTCCATAGTACGAATAGTTTAGTTGTAGTTGCTGTATTATTTATTAGGATATTGTATCATTTTCTATTTTAATAACTATATTATTTTATAACGGATATTTTAAAATATATGTATTCAATTCATGTACAATGTTAACAATGTGATTAGATTTGTTATTTTTTAATATATCGCATTATAAATGATAACGGCAAAACAATCACTTAATTATTTTATTCAGTTAGTTATTATTCAAATGACACTACAAACGATCAAAAACTTTGGTAATGCAAAAAATATCGTGAACAGTATGGTACTGTACATACGAATTTATCGACTATTTATCCGTTTTTATATGTTCTTTAACTGTCTGATTCGTACGATGTGATTGCTCCTGCTGAAATAACTTCTTATTTTATGATTCAAAATAATTGCAATAATAATAAAATAATGTATTATTATTGTTAGGAGATTATTATTGTTATTTTATATTTAATTTGTATAATTCCATTTCCGGTGAAATATAGTTTTCGCGGCAAACTTTGTATTCATATAACACACGATGTTTGTTTATTTATCGATAATAAATTGCAGAAAGAAAAATCAAATTAATTTGATATTTTGTCAAGCAGTCTGTGGGTGCGCATGTTTTGTTCTATTTCTTTCGAGGTGCAGATGTTCGTACAAATATATTTCACTGACACATTCTAAATGCATGATCATGCAAACTGATCGCTGTAGTTGCCTTGAAAAAACTAACTAACTACAGTTTCTAAAATTTTTTTACGCAAAGAAAATAAGAACAATATATGTATATATTTATTATCAAAAAAAAAACTAATATAAAGTACTTACTTTATTATTAAATATTTCAGTTTTATTGTTGAAATAGTAACAGAAATTAATTAATCAAATGTCAGAATATATTCATGTTATAAAAAGTGCTTACAATTTCAACCCTGTAATTTGTAAATAGAAACCCTAAGTACAATGTGGTAAATTTTTTGCAGTCGTCAGTTCATTAATGAAAGCTGTTCATGCAATACATTACATCGATAAATAAATTAGCAATATGCCGAAGAAAAAAACTGGTCAGAGGAAAAAAGCTGAGAAACAAAAATTGCGGTTAAAGGAAATACGTAGCAGGGAATCATCATTAGCTGACATGCCATGTAACGCCCCAATGGATTGTGAGAAATGCGAAAAGAAGCAAAAATCTCGGGCATTTTGCTACTTTTGCCAAAGTTTACAAAGATTGCCTATGTGTGCACACTGCGGTAAAATAAAGTGCATGCTTAAGACAGGGGATTGCGTAGTGAAGCATCCTGGTGTGTTTACAACTGGTCTTGGTATGGTTGGAGCTATATGTGACTTTTGTGAAGCTTGGGTATGTCATGGGCGAAAATGCCTGCAATCACATGCATGCACTTGCCCATTACAGAATGCGGTATGTCTAGAATGTGAACGTGGCGTTTGGGAACATGGTGGACGTATATTTAAATGTTCATTTTGTAATGGTTTCTTGTGTGAAGATGACCAATTTGAACACCAAGCTTCATGTCAAGTTTTAGAATCAGAGAACTACAAATGTCAATCATGCAATCGTTTAGGTCAATATTCATGTTTACGTTGTAAAACATGTTACTGTGAAGATCATGTGCGACGTAAAGGATTCAAATATGATAAAAATAAAGCTATACCGTGTCCAAAATGTAATTATGAAACATCTGTAACTAAAGACCTTAGTATGTCCACTAGATCGCATAAATTTGGTCGCCAACAACAAGGTGGAATGGACGAAAGTGATGATGATTATGATGGCTACGATGCTAGTTACAGCGGTAGGAATAATCAATACTCCCTTTGTTATTATATGGTTATATTCTTATAATCGTTGTAGGTTGGAACCGTGATGATGACTACACAGACGATGAAACGGAAGACGACGAGGATGACAACGAAGACGACGACGAAGAAGATGAAGAAACTGCAAGTAATAACTCCGATAATGTAGAAAACGATAAAATTAAAAATTAATTTATTAAATATTTTTAATTAAAAAAGTCGTATTCATTATTCTGGTGCAGTTATTGGTGTATTCCACAATTTTTTACAGGCAGGACATTTCGATTGTTTAATTAAATACGTCCGTAAACAATCATTATGTAATTTATCGTTGCATTCTGAGCATTTGATACCCTGCAATATATTTAAATACATATAGCTGAAGCGAAATTGAATAACGGCATTTTAATTTTCACTTACCCACCAAACAATTTTTTTGCATAAAGTGCATTCCTTTACATGCTCTGGAAAATTTGATTTAATATGAGCACCGTATTCTACCAACATCTTTACCCCAAAAAAAACATTGTCTCCAATTTCTACAAAATAACCCTGCTCAATCCAAATATTTAAAAGTTCTTGCATACGATCTTTAGTCATTTTATGCTGTGTAGCTGGCAAAGTATTTGTTATGGTATAAACTGTATTCCAAGGGATACTGTAATTATCCTGAACGGCCATGTTTTCTAACAACTTTGAGAAATAATGACGCTCAACATCGGAATAATGATATTGCAACTTTCCACATTCTGATTCTACCGTCCATGAATGTATCAGTAACTCCTCATTATTAAGTGGATGTTTCATATAAGTTAGTGTTTGGTTTATTTGTATCAATTCCTTATTAATTTCTTTTACAAAGTTTATTACTTCTGGCCCCGTAGGTACTGAGACTCCATCTAATACGACATATAAGACGTAATTTATAAATATAAAGCATATTTAAAACCACTTACAAGATTCGCATAATGGAACCAATATTTTGTTTATATCAGACACTTTTATAACACCACGGTTAATACAATTTCTTGCAAATAACTTCTTTACGTTGTCCATTGCAAGAATTATTTCTTACTTTCGAATAAGCGCAATTCTTTTGACACTTCAGCTGTCATTTTAGTACAAAACTGTCAGGTTGCATTTGGTTAAAATGATTGTAATACACAATACAAAATTTGAATTTTTTTTATTTATTAACTTAAAAATAAATACTATTTCAAACAGCCTATGAGTTCTCAGATTCCTTAAACCTATAAAGAAATATATAAAGTTTTGCTTATTTTGATCTACTAATATATACTTCCAATATAATGCATACCTGCATTTCAGACATGTAAAGAAAACTGTTTGTCCTTCATCCGCAGAACGTAATTGTAATGTCGCATATGACATTTTGTCATGTCCACATTGTGAGCATTTTCGTTCAACAATAGGACCACTTGGCTCCTCGCTCTTGTTTACACTTTCCGGCTTACAACTTAGTTTCTTTGGGTCGTATGTATTAAAATGTATAGTATATTCAATTTCCTGTTCTCCTAAAACTAAAATCAAACGCAATATGGTTCAAAATTTATTTAAAGAAATAAAATCAAATATTACCATCTGGGCTGAAAACCTTTTTGCAGTTATAACATGTAACATTTTCAGTTGGCCGAAGTGGTGGAAATATTGAGCCACATGTTGGACAAAATCCCGGGTGTGTTTTAAACATATCCATTTTTAATTGAAAAGAATTTAGTAGTGTGGCACAACTTGATTTATTATTACTATTAATTAAGGTTACCTTATGTCTTTTTATATAAACCAAACAGGGTTGTATTAAAAAATTAAAAATTTTGTGTCTGCTATTCTGGAAGCACTTGACTGGGGTATATTGAACTATACATAAGCAATTTAAAATTTGTGTAAAACCCAAACACTTAAGTATACAGAAATCATTTCCAAGTTAAATAGTTTCGCATATAAAATTTTTTTGTTTATTTCCCGATATTATATTGGGTGTTTATGTGAGCAACACAAACATCAAAGATAATATTAATACTGTCTAAAACGAGGCAATTTGCAATATCAGAAAAAGCAATACTGTGCGAATAGTTTTCTTTCTTTTAATACAATTTCTATTTTCCATATTTCTAATTTATGCACTAAATAACATAACACAGCAGACATTTTAAACTCATTGTAATATTATACATAACACTCTATACCCAATGTGTTGAGTACGATCCTTTTTTGTAAGACTACTTTAAGTTTAACTGCTTTTACTAGCTTATGTCGGAGTTAGGATAACATGTAAAGATAAAAGTTATAATAATTTAATTCAAAGATTAAATATAAAAGTTAGGTATTAAATTTTATTTGTATACGTAGATTTTATTTTTTATACATAGATAATATCTATGAACCTTGTTAGTAATTAGTTTCAACAAAGTAAAACTTAGTAAAATTGCAAATATTATTCTTCCATTTTTAAATAATATTCGAAAAATTATTTGAGCATATACTTATATATACTTATATATCCCGAACATGTTAATATGGATTTTATAATTTAATTTCATCTAAAATATTCATGTCTTTTAGCCTGAAAAATATATGTCTACATAAAATCATACCTATATCATCTGATATTTACCTCAGAAGCCTTAAGTCGATTTTTTGGATTATATACAACTAAATTTGATACCAAATTAATTTCAACTGCATGTGTACAACTAGGAAATAAGTTATCCCAATGAATTCCAACTGCATTAGGAAATCTATACAATTAAATATTCTTTTAAAATTATATTATTAAAATATCTCAATTCTAAATTTGTTACCGTATTTTATTGAAATCTGGCAAAGATTTAAGTTCAGGCCATTCATTCAGTTGCGGACTACCTAGCGTTCTTATGACTAAAGCAAGCTGTTCAATGTCAGTCGTACCCTAATAGGTAATATATAACTTTTTTAACAGAAAAGTACAACAACAATTTACAACAATTGACGTACAGCGAATAAAGGAACTCCTCTTAACATTTCAGCTATAACACATCCTGCTGCCCATATATCCACACCAGGTGTATATTTCTGACTGCCCCATAAAATTTCAGGTGCTCGATACCAACGTGTAGACACTTGCGGAGAATACAATTTATCTTCCTCTTCTGAAAAATACAGACGTGCAAGTCCAAAATCTGCAATTTTCAAAACATCATTTTGGCTGATAAGAAGATTGGCTGGTTTTATATCCTACAAACAAACAATATAATATAGTTACTAATAACTGAATAGGCTGTTGTTGTCTTTTAAAAATATTAATTAATAATTTAATAGATAATTATAAATAGTTATAATCTAACACCTATTTTACAACTTACCCTATGCATAATACCAAGTCCGTGCAAATACTCAATACCCTTCATCATCATCAACGAGAATTTTCGTACTTGTTGCCTGCTTAAGGGGCTTGCTTCGTTTTTAAGTTTGGCATACAGGGTATCTGGCATATATTCAAGCACTAAAGACAATCCAATAAGGTCTGGATATATGTCAATAATAGTTATTATCTAAAAGATACTAGAATTTTGTATAATTGTCACTATTATCTGTATAAACTTTTTATTTACATTATCTGATTTACATAATTGTAAAGTTTTGATTTCTCGCAAAGTGCTCAATGAAATATTTCCAAATTTATTTTTTAATGCAACTTTTTTGATAGCCACTTCTTTATTACGATGTAAATCGATAGCTTTGAAAACGAATCCATGCACTCCCTCGCCTATTTTTTCTAGCATTTTATAACGACCTGGAGCATAATCTTCCATTGTTTTATATATTTCAAATCAACAGCGTTATATTACAAATTTAATTTTTTAACAATATAATTGCAAATTGAATTGCATATCAATTATTTGTCGATAAAAAATTTTAGTTGTTTATGTTTTCAACTCAAAGTCGTTACTAGGACAACAATGTACACATAGATCCGGTAATTTTTTCAATTTCACTTCAACTAACACAAATTTACTTTCTAATCTTATATATGGGTTCATAGACCTAAGAACAACCCTCAAAACTCTTTGTTTACGAAGACTGTCATGAAAACAAAAAGTGATTTTTAAAAAACCGGTCAACTGTTTAGATTATTTACGATATTTTGATTTTATTATGAATGTGGTCCAAAAGGATTTGTCAAATTTTAACGCATGTCCAATAAAGCTATAATATCCTCTGTACTTGAAACTTACCAAAGGTTGTAAGATACAGAAATTTTCAGACACTTCGCAATGAGAACTCGGATCAAAATTTTATATTAAAAGATGTTTTAAAGAAAAATTATATAAAACTTATAATAGTAATGTAAGTAACATCCATGTTATATCAATTTTTATTTAAATATTGTTGAGTATCAAAAACAAGTGAATGATTAAAGTTTTTAATAATTTCGACATCCTTGATAAAAATCAATAATTTAAATTACAAGTAATATTTTATTTTAAATATAAAATACCTTGAAATTTTATTAAATAAATTTTAAATGAAAACGTGTAAAGACATAAGTTTAAATCATTGATTTTTAAAAAGTTTTATTATAATTGAAAAGAAAAATGGTTCGATTATACAGATATTGGGGGATACACATTATATACACACCCAAAACCCAACAAACGAAAAGCATATACAATTAAGCCAAATTAAAGGTACAATGTTGGTATAAATAAAAGGGTCTAATATCTCTGATAATCAGAATCTCTTTCAGAATCTGTTATGATAAAAAGATTGAAAAATTAATCGTACATATGTGCTATTCAATGTGTGACAAAATTTGTTTGACAGTTTTAAGAAACCATTTTTTGGAAGTGTATTCCCAAAGTGTTTAATTGTGACAAGATTATTTATAATTCCAACATTGAGCATGGAATTATTATTTTAAAATTGGTGCATTTTTTATCGACTTTGACAAAGATTTAATCTGAAAACATATAGAAACTTAGGTTTCAGAGAAGAATTAGTTTCGTTTGTTTTAAGCGAAAAAAATATTATCTATTTCCACACCCTTACTCCTTTTTAAAGATTAATGAAATGAACTTCATCAAAACGTTATGTCTTTATCCACCAGAAAATTATTTTAACTAGGTCGCTACTCAGCAACTTTAATCTTCTATGATGAATTAATTTTAAAAAAATGTCTGATGTACCAGAATACCCTCTATGGCTGGTGATGAGAGTTCTAATTATAATCCGTGCTTTGCTATGAGCTAGAAATAGGTTCTATAGCAGAAATTATTAATCTTGTCGATAAATAAGTTATTATCAGAATTCAACGGAGCTCTTATTAAAATGGATTATCTAAATAGTCACAGACACTTATGAATCAAAGTGCTTTAGACACTAACTCGCATTTGATCAAGAAAACAAGCAGAAGGTAAATAAGTAATCAACAACGAAACAAATCAAGTCTTTGTCAGACCATTCGAATTATGTTCGGGTAGGACTGGTTACTATATTAAAGATCTATTTCGGTTTACAGAAGTTGTGAAACTGTTAATGATATTGGAAACAATATTTTTGGAAACAATATATTTAACAAAGAAACGTTTTTTTAAATATAGAAATACTGAATATATAGAAATACTGAAAAATGTAATTTTCAAGAGTATATGTATATTAAAAGTAAAATTTGGCTCTAAACACAGTTACATGGCTCCTCTTTGAACATACTTTTGTACCTGGCAGTAAGCGAAACAGTTAGAAGGAACTCTATTGGGAACATAAATCTCAATCTATTCTACTAAATATAAATGTAGAATCACTTAACAATTATAGAATAAATGGAATATAAACTAACACTGTTACGTTAAACCTGAAAATTAATATAATAGAAATCGGCACGAGTAATAGATCTAAATAATAGAGATCTAAATAAGAATCAAATTATTAATATTAATACATAGGTATATTATATAATATATATATATAAGAACTTCAGAAAATAAGCATAGTAATGAATAAATAATATAGACAGAGGTAAGGTATATCTCGTCTTTAATATGTGGATATTTTTTTATTAAATATTTGCTTCTGCAATATGCTATGGTGCTATTTAGTAGAACCAGAAAAAAACCGTTTCTTTGTAAAGATGGCTTGAATTCAATTCATAACATATCATCACAACTTATGATATAATTCATGTCTCTCCTAGAATATTTGTTTTTGTGTATTTGGTTTTCAAAAATAATTTATCTGTGTAAAGAGTAAGAATTAGATTCCCAGAATGCAATATTAATATAGTTTCGTCTGTAACATAAATCTTTAGATTAAGTTAGACTAATCTGACTAGCTGTCCCTAGACCTTTAACATGTAAGATGCCTACAGCAGAGCATAGAACATCAGATATGTTTCAAAATCTCTTTTAGTCTTTATGGTTTGATAACAAAAAACATATAACATATATATAAAAAATATATATAAAAAACTTGATAACATATATACCCGTCTATTCGCAGCTAATATTTCTATGGTTTCAATGCTTTGTGGAAAAAGTGATGTGGTATAATATGAATTATACGTTCGTCGTTTTTGATTAATCTGTGTAGATGTTATGGGTGATATTGTCACGTTTCATGCCAATATAAATCTTTATTTTGTGTTCTGTCACCTTCAATGAAGCATAACTAAAATCTGTGGAACATTTATTATCACAATGAAGATATATTCAAGTGAAAGGTTTAGTTATTGGAAGTTTATGACAAATGATAATGAAAAGGTTAAGATTGAGGTTTATCATTGCATACAAATCGCTTAATTCAAATAGTGGTTGTGAAAAGTTTTTGGAAATATTTCTCACTGTAATACGAGTATGACAATCGCTTTCAAAAGCTAATAAATTTTTAATTAATTCTTGACGACGGCTTTAATAATAATAATATTTAATAATAATAATATTTAATAATAATAATATTTAATAATAATAATATTTAATAATAATAATAATAATAATAATAATAATAATAATAATAATAATAATAATAATAATAATTATTAACATATCTGTGAAAAATAATTTCATATTTTTCAGCATGAAAACTTTGGTGGTAATTGCACTTCTCATATTCACTTGGAATGAAATATATGCTCGTACTGCAAAACGTTCTGATGTCTACATAGCAGGATTTTTCCCATATGGCGATGGAGTTGAGAATTCAGAAACTGGTAACAAAATAACTATATTTCCAAAATTTTGTAAACTAGAAAATATAATCTTTAAAGGACGTGGTGTTATGCCAAGTGTTAAATTGGCTTTATCGCATGTAAATGAGCATCCAAGAATATTAACTAATTATCGTTTACATATGTGGTGGAATGATACAGAGGTATTCAAATGACTGATAAATAATAAAGTTTTTTTAACATATTTATACATATATTTTTTATATATTTATAGTGCAATGCTGCGGTGGGTGTAAAATCATTTTTTGATATGATGCACTCAGGTCCCAATAAACTTATGTTATTTGGTGCAGCTTGCACCCATGTAACTGATCCGATTGCGAAGGCTAGTAAACATTGGCATCTGACACAGCTTTCATACGCAGATACGCATCCTATGTTTACGAAGGATGCATTTCCTAATTTTTTTCGTGTAGTACCCTCGGAAAATGC